TTTGGTTTTTTCAATTCAGATTTGAAATCCATGAAGCTTATTAAAATGTCTAATATAATCCATACAGTTATTAAAAAAAGTTGGGGGGGATTTCGGTTTCGCCCTTACAAATTCTGCTACGGAAGTTGTGTTGCAGTGCCATTCATTTCAATGGTACCCCAAACGTGACTCCCGCCCACACTGGTGTTGAAGTCAGTGATGAGGTTCTATGGTAAATAGGAGAATCCTCCCGACTGTGATCACAGAGAAATGGACACACAGGAATAGGTCAAGCCGTTTCTGTTTATTATGCTCCGTGCATGACCTTGTAGAATAAATAGTGTAATCTGATACTAAATCTAAAGTAACAAGTCATTTACAAGAAGCTGACATTAGTTAGTTTTTAACTGATTTAAGTGTTGGCTTACAAAAAGGAGAAACTCAAGGAGAAAGTAAAGAGGACCTCTCTATGCTTTTTCTTTCACACTGGAACACGCAGTACACCCAATGCTGTGTTTTCCAGTGCAGTGCGATTGCAAAAAACTGTGCATGCAGTTTTATTCTGAAGTAAACTTTGTAACACTCCATTTGTGTATTTATTTTAATAAGTGCAATGGGTACTAATACTTTGTCCAAGTGCACTGTTCATAATAAAAGGTCCCCCCATACTAATGCCTAATGCTTTCTAAAAGAAACAAGTTTATGAGCTGATCTTCTAGCTAGACAGTTGGCAATATTTGCTATATTGATATGAGCCCATTTGTATTTGTCAGTTTGTTGCTATAGTAAAGAAATCATATTTTCTCGTTCCAGATTGGGAGGTCAACAGAAAGTCCCATTGACTTTGTAGTGACGGACACAGTTTCTGGTAACCAGAACGATGAGACTCAGATTACACAAAGTACCATTTCCAGGTTTGCTTGCCGGATCGTCTGCGATAGGAATCTACCATACACAGCTAGAATTTATGCAGCAGGATTTGACTCCTCGAAAAATATCTTTCTCGGTGTAAGTGTCAATTACAAACTATGATTGAGAGTGTTCTCTTTTCACATTGATGTTTTGATTGTACAATGAAAGCATTTGGTAAAGAGGAACGTTTGGGCAGAACATCATGAGAACAGTCCATGTAACACTGTTGTACACTTAGGACTTTGCCTGGAGAAGTTTTGTTTTCTGTATTGTCTTTCTCAAATCCTTGAAAGACGAGTCAGGCCTTTGCTGTTTAAACCTTAATTTGAAGACTGGACTCCAGGAACAGCAGGAGGTAGCAGAAATGCGGCACAAGAGACTAGAATCTCTACATAGAGTTCACACTCTCTACGACCACTTGGCACTGCTCGGCAAAGACTATTGTTGTAACCAATCTCTCGGTCTATACAGTATGTTGGCAGTCATTGACATTTCTGGCCACCCTGACCGTTCCTACACTATATAGTTCCAAGTAGGGATGCACAGATATTTCAGCCCCCGAGACGTATCAGCAGAAAATGGCACTTTTGGCAAAATGCCGAAAGTGCCATCTTTCAGCCAAAATTGCGGTGCATGCTTGATTTCTCTCCTCCCTGCTGTGTGCTGGTCCCCTCTGACATAGCGCAGCATCCAGCAGTAGGAGAGAAACTGTCACAGGAGGCTGAACAGTGCAGGGGAAGAAGCTCTCCTCCCCACACCTCCTGTGACGGTGAGTCAGGATGGAGAGTAAGTACTCAGCGATCAATGACGGCTTGTAAATAATTGAGGACATAGTATGTTTACTATATCCCCAATTATGAGTTATCTACATCACCTCCTGTTCATCATGATTGTGGATATAGTAAACATACTATCTGCACAAGTTGTAAGTGAACACTCAGTATAGAGGATTCCTGTTCATTTATAACAGGGGCTGCAGAAGAAGAGATTGAGAACTGTGTCCTCAATCTCTTTTAAAAGGGAAATATCAGGGGTGTTTAGACCCCCAATATTTACCTAGAGCCCCTGACAGTAAAGTAAAAAAAATGTAATAAAAATAAAAGTTTATAAAAAATTTGAAAAGGTTAGGGGAAAAAAAAAGTTTCGGTTTCGTGCTGATATTTCTTTTTTTTTTATTTTCGGTTTAAAAAAATGTCATTGCTGTGTACCTCTAGTTCCAAGCGTACTGGCACTCAAAAAAGCCCAGGTGCCTGTGAATATGGATCTTCAGTGGGAAATGTTTTTTTTTTTTTTTTTTACTTCTATGTCTCCACATGCAAAAGTTTCAGTGTTGACCACGATTTTCTTCTACTTTTTAGGAGAAAGCAGCTAAGTGGAAGAATCCTGATGGCCACATGGATGGACTAACCACCAATGGTGTTCTTGTAATGCATCCAAAAGGAGGTTTTACTGACGAATCTAAGCCCGGCGTATGGAGGGAAATTTCAGTCTGCGGTGATGTGTACACTCTCAGAGAAACCAGATCAGCCCAACAGAGAGGAAAACTTGTAAGACTTTGTTTTTATCCCTCTCAAGGACCAGAGAAAATGTTACATTTGTACTGTGAGCCTGTTTATTCAGCGATAACTATGCCATTACTTAACCTCCCTGGCGGTCTCATTATTTCTTTATTTCCTTTTTTTGTTTTTTTTTCCCCTGCCGGTTCCGCCCCCTTGCGAAGCGGATGCTCGCAAGGGATGGAACTCAGAAGACAGATGCCGGCATCGGCCGGAGGACACAGCGCGGCTCGAGGGACAAGTTAAGTAACGCTAAACTGTAATCCCGAGTGTGGCTCGGGGTTACCGCTTATGGTACTGAAAATTAACCCCGAGCCACACGGGATTACCGCCAGGAAGGTTAATAGTGTATTTCCCATTTTGCAGTCAAATTTGGGAAACCTTCACTGTATGTGTTCTTTCTTACCTTTCTAATTGTAGAAATAGGACTCTTCAGGCAGTTTGAATTCTTTAGAATAACTTGCTAAACAATACGGGGTAGGTAACCTCGGCACTCCAGCTGTGCTGAAACTAAAAATTCCACAATGCCTCTGGCCTGTTCCTGTCAAGGTCTTGCAATGCCTCATGGGACTTGTAATTGCACAACAGCTGGAGTGCCATGGTCACCTATCCCTGTTATAGGGTTAATTATGGTAAACATCACTCCCTATTATCTTACCACCCCTTCCCCCTCAAGTGTCATTTCACACAATTATGTAACGCAGAATAATTCCCAGCTGTCATTTTGGCAATAGCGATAGGTAGGGATGCACCGATATCGGTATTGAGTACCGATTTTTTTTTTTTTTTTCTTTCAGCTACTTACCGATACCGGAAGTCCCATTAAGGAAGCCAGGTGTCATTACATGACTCACCACCTGGCTTCCTGATTAGCGGGGCAGCGTGTAAAGATTCATTGGGTGACGAGGGAGCATGAAGCCGGCTTCCCGGCCAGTCAGAAAGCGGGCGTCATTACATGCTGCCCAGTTTCCTGATTGGCCGGGAAGCTGGCTCCATGCTCCCTCGTCACAAGTGACAATGGGTCCGGCTTCCCGGACAATTAGAAAGCCTGGCAGCGTCTAATTACTCGCTGCCCGGCTTCCTGATACTGGGAGTATCGGGCTAGGCATCGGAGCATTTGGGCAAGTAAGAGTAGTACTCACCCAAATACTCTGTATCAGTGCATCCCTAGCGCTAGAGAGAGAGAGAAAGAGGTAAGCTTACATCCTAGAGAATTTCCTAGAATTTTTTTATGATGTATCTCCTATGTTTTTTTTAAATTTTGTTTATTGACTGAACAAAATATGTGATACAAGCATTTTCAAAGGAAGCATAGGGAAACATCCCAGCGCCATGACTACACTGCCGAGTCTGTACCGTCAAGCCCCGACACCCCATAGGACAGGTGATTGCGTTAACAATAGCTAGATTGTATCGTGGAGAGTCCTTGGCCATGTCGGGTGTATAAAGTAACCACAAAATCTTGTGTCCAGCTATAATGCCGGATCAATCGTTTGCGTCTGTGCTACCATCCTGATAGAAGAAATACAAGAGGAGGAAAGAAAAATCAAGGAAGGCTGAGGTATCGAAGTGCAGGAATCCCATACGGGAACAGGTTTGAGGTTGTAGAGAAAAGCAGAGGAAGGAGAAATGCCTCCGGGCTGCTCCCCTCGCCCCCACCCCCCTCTAACCACTGGTTAGATGGGGGCACTATTGCTTTAATATGAAATCCAGTTTACTAAAAGGGTTATTCACAAAAGTTTGAAGAGTTTGGAGGAGGCAGGAGAAGTGAACAATCTATGACAACATAGCTGAACTGGAGAATGTTTCCAAATCAGCTATTGTAGCCTAACTTTTCACCCTTTTGGAATAACCCTGTAAATGTTCATGTTAGGTTGGCTGTGGGTTTTACAGAGCAAAATTGATACCATTTTCCTCTCCCTTCCAATTCTATTACTACTACTGGACATTGCAAAGCTGCTCTATTCCCCTCTGTGTATTAACATGGGCAGGTCCTTCTCTAAATAACATTGATGTTGCTGGGTGGATGGTTTATTAGATATAACGGCGTCCAGAGACAACCACAGCAAGTAAAAATCCCTATTGAGTAGTCAAAACTATTGCTGTTATGTATATCTGCAAATGGTTACTGCTAGCTAATCACTTGACTTGTTCCTTCTTTTCAGACCCCGTTCACATTGAGCGATTTATCGCGCGGTAATTCCTGCGATATCGCGGCAATTTACCGCGCGATATCGCTCTCCAATGCTTCTCAATGGGGCAAAGGGTCCTGCTGTTGCGAGTCGTGTGTCGCTACAGCAGGACCCTTTTTGGAGCGGATTTAGCCGCGATTCAAGCTTGCTCAATGCAAGCATTTGCGCGACAAACGCGCGATTTGCGAACTGCTCAATGTGAACGGGCTCTAAGAGTTCATTAAGAGATGAACTTTAGGGTTCATCCCACTTTATGTAGCTGTCTACTGATAAAAAAAAAGGTCTTTACAATCTGTTTACCATTTTATGTTGCGCACATTCCTGATCACACCAAGAATAGGCCAGAACACATTGGTGGTGTGGTCTGCCTAGCTAGCCACATAAATGATTGCATGTTCAAAGGTTTTTGGAGGTGCACACACAGAAGAACTGCTTACGTGGGCATTAATACAGTTTGTGTTTTTTTTTGTAGGTGGAAAATGAAACCAACATTCTACAGGACGGTTCTCTTGTTGACTTATGTGGGGCTACCTTACTGTGGAGAACAGCAGATGGCTTGTTTCATGCACCAACTCAAAAACACATTGAAGCCCTGAGACAGGAGATCAATGCAGCCAGACCTCAGTGTCCTGTTGGATTAAACACTTTAGCATTTCCTAGTATGCACCGCAAGGATGTAGTGGAAGAGAAACAGCCTTGGGCTTACCTTACCTGTGGCCACGTGCATGGATATCACAATTGGGGTCATCGAAGCGACGCAGATGCCAACGAGCGGGAATGTCCCATGTGTCGGACAATTGGACCCTATGTGCCTCTGTGGCTTGGCTGCGAAGCTGGCTTTTACGTAGACGCTGGTCCTCCTACACATGCTTTCAGCCCTTGCGGACACGTGTGTTCAGAGAAGACTGCCAAATACTGGTCTCAGATCCCGCTTCCTCATGGTACCCACGCATTTCACGCTGCCTGCCCATTCTGTGCAACACAGTTGTCTGGCGAGGAAAGCTGCATTAAACTTATTTTCCAGGGACCCATTGACTGATGCTATTTATAACAACCAGTAACATTTTGTTAATAAAAAATGAAAACAAAAAAAAGCAAAAAAATACTGTGAAATTTTTCACCACTAATACTAGAATTGACCTTTTTTTTAATAATTTTATTAAAGGGGATCAAACTATGACCTAACAGATTTTTTTGTGTTCTCAGATTGATCGGATGTCAATACTTTGGCATGCATACCAGCAGCTTAAACATTCAGATTTTTTTTTTTGGTCCAGATTGTTATATTTGTAAATCAATTTTAATACAGACCCTTTGTTTGAAAGGTAATTGTTTGGCAGTTATTTTGGTTGAGCTGACATGCTTGTTTTATTCTATAAAACAGAGGCAATGGAATTTCATTTCTGAGAACCAAAGTATTTTTGAAGGGGGATTGCAGTGTGACAAGTGTGCTAGGAGAATAACAATATCATAAATATAGAACACCAAAGTGATTCAAGAAATAAAATAAAAAAAGTACACAATTTCTTAAATACTCATAATTTGTCCGCCCAAGAACAAAATAGTGCTCATATTAATGAAATGTGCAATCATACAAGTGTCCAACTAATGTCTATAATAAGTACTGAACTCGTGCACAAGCATCATAAATCCGCCCTTAGATTGCGCATCCACCTAAGTATCAGATGCTCAGGAAGTGTCTTCACCCGTACACAACGAAGATAGCAGCCTCTCACCTTCTGAATGGACCTCCCAAAGAGATGGTCACTAAAAACCTTTTCCCCATTTATGTCCAGGAGGGGATATCCTGCCCTCAACACCAAATGCAGTGCGTTCCGGCCGGCTCACTATTTCATGGGGCTGGAGGGGGCTTGGTGGGCCATTGAAGTGAATGGCACCGTAGCCACGCCCTCCAGCCGCAATGCGAACGCCCGCACGGGTTCGCAGGGCACATTGTGCCTGCGGTCCGGTCAAAATGCTGCAAAGGACTGGACCGCAGGCACAATGTGCCTTGCGGACGGAGGACGCGGCTACGGTGCCATTCACTTCAAT